ATCTCTGGTAAAGTCACATTTAATAGCGTTAGCTATTCCCTGCCCCCCCACCCCCTCTTTAATTCTTTTAGAAGTTAAATTAGGAAGGAACCATGAAAATATTCATATGCTTGGTACTTAACTTAAGGTTAGCTTGAAATGCCATTTTTGCTCCAATGAAATGTCAGATTTCACCATTAGATTGTAAAAAGAAGCAAACACATTTCATAAGAAAGCTGAGAAATATTTTGTGGGACAAAGATCAAAGAAAATACTACCTTCTTAATGCAGTAAAAACTCAAGTTTGGGCTTTAACATTTCTTTACCTATTCGTTTTTATAATGTGCACACATATTTGAGCCTAGAAAAGAAATGAAAATGGTGCCTTCTCTGCCTGGTTGACTGTGACACTTACTAAAATACAAGTGCCATATGGTGATAGAAAGAAAGCTAACTATGGGAGGTGAACACACGATGTAAATATACATATATGCCTTACTGTTAAAATGTTCAGCTGAAACTTACCGGATTTCATAAACCAGTGTCACCATAAAAAATAAATAAGTTAATTATTAAAAAATAAAAATAATAAAACACAAGCGCCATTTTTTTTGGTTCAGAGCTTTTGTAATGCAGCACAGCTGCCTGAAAGGAAGAAGATAAGAGAGAGAAGATATTGGAAAATCTATACAGAGGTTTATTGCTTTAACTGGCATATTGTACACAAAAGAGCTTTTCAACATTTTACCCTTTTTGTTCAACTTTATTTTCCACACAAACATGTTGGAGAATTTAACCATGAATTCCACATATCTCCAGGGAGACTCAACAATATAAGTAGAATTACTTTAGAAAATAATATCAGTATGTGCTTTACATGTTCTTTGTTGAAGAAATACTGATTGTTCCCATATTTCTCCCAAATCTTTAAGGGACTTTTAGGCAGGCTAATGGAAATCATATCTGATCAAGGGGCAAAAACTCCAATATGCAGTCATTAAAAAAAAAAAAAAAAACAGACAAATAACTGCTTGTTTGAAGAACATTCACCATTCATATAATCAGGTAGAACTTATTGTGGAGGTATGGGTTTTTAGAAAATCATTGTAAGTTGTTTTTAAAATTACAGTTATGTTCTAAAGACATTTTGAATGAAGTTTCTTTTTTTTAAAGTTTGGATTGCAAAGGATTCTAGGAGATGAAAGAAGTCTTTTACTATTGGCAAGAGCAATTGACCCTAAACAACCCAACATGATGACTGAAATAGTAAAAATACTTTCTGCTATTTGTATTGTTGGAGAAGAGAACATGTAAGTATTGCTATGTTATCATATTAACTGCCTGGATATAACACAAGAAATTAACAAGTCCTACCTCGTTGCTGTTTTTTTAGATAACTTGCATGAAGATAGTGTGAATTTTGGGAAATTATTAGCATTTTTATTTTATCTATTTACATTTTAGCTTTTTTTTTTTTTTTGATGTTTTGAAAAATAGGTTTAAACAGAACCCTAATGGGAAATTCTTCAAAGTTAGATTCAAAATGAATGAATAGAATTTTGTTTAGTAAAACAATTATTAGAAAACTAAGAAAAAATCAGAGAATAGTTTTGACTACATACACACGCACACACGCGTGTGCACACACACCTTACACACACACACACATATGCATTAAAAATTGACTTGTTTAACTGAATTAACTAGATGTTTTAATTTGTACTATTATTTTATAGTAGTATTTTATTTTATCTGTCTACGGTAAGTGAAAAGATGAAGCCATTATTCATAGAATGAAATAAATTAACCTGTTAAGGAGAAAGAACATAAAGGCTATTGGTAATTTTTCAGAGTGCATGTAAGTGCCAGTTTCAGCAAGTTGTTGCCAACCATACATTAGATCCTTTCTTCTTATGGAAATAATATTGAATCAGAAGCAAAATGTAAGATTCAATGTCATTTATATGTCCAGCTAATAAGAAACCATTGTGATAAAAAAATGAAATATCTGCTAAGGGCATGGACTAAAATATTCTTTCCAAACAGTTTATGTACCTGCAGTAATTTCAATTGGAATCAGAATAGGGCCATGCAAAGATTTGAGAATATTCTAATATGTCGACTTTCTCATACCTGTTAGAATAAAATGAGATGTTGCTTGCTGCTTGGCTAGTGTCCTTAGAAACTGAAAGACAGACACTAAACAAAAGTATTATTACATAACATTGTCTTAGCTCAGTGAGAACAAACTGAGAATGAGATAACATATGCAAAACTAGGGTTTCCTTAGGTTTTAGAGAAAAATTAGTTTATACATGAGTAAGAAATATTTTTCTAGTCAATTAGATTTTTTAATACTTAATTCATATAATACAACTTGCTCTGGTATACTTGCAATTATTTAATTATAATTTCAGATATAGTTTGATAAGAGTAGTATTCTACATAGAGGTTAATTTGATTCAGACACTGTACAGAGATCATTTTTAATATTTTTGTTGAGGTAAATACGTTTCTTATGCTAGGCGATTAGAGATGCTTCTCTAATTACTGAGGCTTTCTCTTTCAGGTTTTTCTTTGTTTCATTTTCAAATAATATTAATGTTTTTAAGTTTTTTTTTAAAAATTTATTCTTTCCAGCACTTTATTATAAAATTACACTTGGGTTAAACTTGAATGCACTTTCAAAAGCTGTAGATGCCCTTTTGTGTTTAAGTGATATTAATATCTGTTGCGTGAAATGATAGAACTTGAAATTTTAAATTTCAGTGTTTATCATTAAGTATCTTTTAGAAAATGTCACCCAGAAAAGTTATTTTCCTCAAGATTTTTAAATTGAATTTTCATTTTGATGCCCTAAAATTATTTAAAGCTATTGATATTAGATTTGTAGAGATATGCGAACAGGAACGTAATTCTTAAATTGTAATGATCTCTATAAACATCAAGCACGGGGGAGGGGAGAGGAGGGGGAACTGAAAGAGATAACCCATAGTTATAATGTGTGTATAAGATATATTTCTAATTTTTTCTATATTTGTCTCTATAGTTTAGATAAACTTTTAGGGGCTATATCTGCAGCAGCAGAAAGAAATAACAGAGAACGATTTTCACCAATTGTGGAAGGATTAGAAAATCATGAAACTGTGCAATTACAGGTGAGTTAGTTTTGTCTTAAATTGCTCCAGGGTTATATTTAGAGTATGCATTTTGTATGACACCGACTCCATTTGAGCTAACACTTGAATTGAACGGAACATAAAAATAAAATTCATTCTGTTGCTTGCTTCATATAAGCCAAAGTTTTGTCTGTGAGAATAACAGTTTGTTTAAAATTAGACAAACTAATTTGGCTAATTATAAATATGACTATGATTGTCATTAATATTTGGGTAGAGATTCAGTAATTGATGTAATAAACCGCAGAAATTAAAACCCTAGCAATAATCAGGGCAAGAGGGCAAGCAGTTCAGCCAATGTCATTATCCTAACAAGTGGGCTTTTGTAGATATTTAAGAAAAGTAAACACATCTCTCTGTGCTATACAAACAACATTTAGAATTCTGACTCACCAGAATAGGAGATTGAATTTCAACTCTTAGGTCAGGGTGTATCTGATAGCCCTGTGTAGACCCAGCCTAAATGTTTTCTTTAGATGACTCACTATGTTTTCTTAGATGACCTCAGGAAAGGACCCAGATAACTTTGTTCTTGAGAGATGAGAACTCATACTTATTGATCATACTTATGATGTGAGATCCTGGACTAAACATTTTAATTTACATCTATAATCTGATTTAATTCTCATAACAACCCGGCTATGTAGGTACTCTTATTTAGTAGTGAGTATTTTAAATATGAAAATTTCCTATCTGATGTAAAACATTTTCTTTTCCTCTTTTTATTGTATTATGAATTATTGGTATCCTTTTTAACTGGAGTTTGAAGCTAGAGTAGATAGATAAATTGGCTTATCCAAAGAGAGTACTGTAGTGTTACAAAACTATAATCCCCCTCCAAGAATTTAAGGAAATTTGTTAAATGTTACTTCTCCAGCTACAATAAGCAGTTTGGATAAACGTTTATGGTGTGCCTTTTATATCCAGTATATTACATTTAAAAAATAATAATTAGGGTATTTCCTTCCAGTGTTTTCCTTTTTACAGTATACTTCTTATAAAATTTATCTCGGTAAAATTTAATATCTCTGCTGAAAGGTTTGAAAACTATCTTTTTAGCTGACTTCTTGAAATTTTTGTTCTTGTTACGGTGGTTGGACTTACCTAACTAAATTTCATTGACTTTCAGTCATATGTAGGAGTTTGCACTTGTCTTGCAAAGTTTAAGAGGAATTAGGCATTTTAGATATATTCAGAATTTTCATTACTCACTCGAATCACACAGTTGTTGAGGGGTAGATTTGTGATTTGAAACCAGGTCTTTGAGATGCCAACATTTGTATACTGCATTGTCTGACCTTTAAAATGACACCTCTGACATAGAGTAGTTCACCCCAAATAATAAGAGAATGACATTTTCTGGCCTTCAGGAAGCTGGACTGAATGGAATGATAAAATGGCAAGTTGTTAACAAGTAAACATGGAAGAATCACAGACATCTTGCTAGGTATTCAAGAAACTGTTGAATACTGATTATAGATGCAAACGTATGCAAAACACAATTTGAAATTTCCTATTCTAATGAGCTACAAAAATCAGTCATTTGTTATATGCAGAGCCTATTACTCTCACAAGAATTGTTAAGTGGGTTTGCTTATTTGTATTATTTCATGTGAATGAAAAAAATTCATCTAAAAGTTCAAAAATATATTCAGAATGCAGAATGAAAAACAAAAGTTTAAATCTGTTGTTTAAAAAATATAATTAGTGCTGTATTTTAACAGAATGACTTTTCTATTTCTGTAGTATCCTGAGACTTCTTAAAATGTTATTACAGTCTCAGGAAGTAATTCTGTTAAAATACAGGACTAATTATATTTTTAAATAACAACTATATACCTTTTTTTTCTTTTTTGGGTTTTAAAACATTATAAATTTCTCACAGAAGTTTTCTAGCTCATCTTTAAAGTGAAATTTTAATGCCTTTGATAGGATTTTCATTATCTTCAGTAGTTCAAAAAATAGATAAAACAACAAATCACATATTTTCATATGCTCTTCATTGACATCCTTTCAGCTTAGTAGCATTCTCAAGTTTCCCCCATACTACAACACCTTCTTTTGATCTTACTTACCCTTGAATTAGCCTCTCATCTTCCTTTTTCATTTTATAGTCCAAATCTCTAAAAGAATCAATACTTGTTTTCTGTTTCTCAAATTACCTTTCACAACTCAACCTTTTCACAGTTCTCAAAAAGGTCAACAGTAATCCTCTAATTTCAAAATCCCATGTCCTATTTCCAATCCTGATCACTTGGCACTTCTGATAACCCCCCTCCTTGAAAATTCAACGGCCTTGGCTTTTCGGCCACTATTCTTTCCTTGCTCTTTGACTACCTTTACCTGCTCTTTCCTTTCTTCATGTGTTTTTCTTCTTACTTCTTGGATGTTTTATTCTCTGTGTTCTATCCTTGGTCCTCTTCTACTATCATTTTTTTGTGCATACATACAGATGTACATATGCATGTATACACTCATACATATATATGTACACACATATAATTCATTTTCTTCATGTATGTTCTCAATTGATTCTCTAGCTCTAACATCCACTATGTTCTAGTGATTCTCCAGATTTATGAGTCCAGCTCATCTCTCTCCCTCTAATCAAACCTACATGTCCAAATGCCTAACTAGATGTCTCATAGACATCATAAAAATAAGAAACTAAAAATAGCATTTATAAGCCATGTGCCAATGTGCTAAATACATATGTTACTTCGTTTTTAAACCTTACAGCAATTCTATGGGAGATAGTAGTAATATCCCCATTTTATAGATGAGTAAACTGAGGCTCATAGAGGTTAGATAACTTTCCCCGGGTCACAAAGTGAATAGGAGGCAAATCCCAGATTAGACACTAGGGTGTCTAGCTCTTAACCACTACGTGGTGCCTCCTCTTATTAAAACTGAGCTCACTCTCTCTTCCCTTTAACCTGATTCCTCCAAAAAGAAGTCTACTCTTCTTCCTGTCTTTCTAATTTTAAATTGTAGATGTATCATCTTTTACCAAATCTTTAATATTCCTCAAGACCTCATTCTTCTTTGTTCTCTGCATCCAATCAATCATCAGATCTTATAGAGCAGACTATGAATCTATCCCAGTCTCTCTACCCCCACTGCCTACTGTCTTTATCTTCTCACTAATATTATTTCCACAATTTCCTAATTAGTACTGTATACTGATAGATTCTTCCCCTCCAGACAAATGTTCTGTATTGCTGCTCTCAGTTATCCTTAAAAGATAAATCTGATTCTAACATAGTAGCATTTCTAGAAAACTATGCTCAAGACTCATTGCTACCTTGATAAAGGCGAAGATCTTAATCACAATGTATGACCTTTTTCAGTGTGGTCCCAACTTTGAGCTTGTCATTCTCTCAAAAGTACCATATATTTTAACCTTACTAAACGTGGTGTTTCTCAAATATGCCGTAGACTTATGTCCTCAAATATTTTATCATGTAGAAATACGAACCCTTCTACACTCATATCCCTTTTCTCCTGGCAAGGTTTAATTTAGGTATGTCCTGCAAAAGTCTAGGAGGGTTTCAGTGAGGAGGTGATGCTTTAACTGGATCTTGAAGCATAAATAGGAAACAGTATTATGGTGGGATGGGAGGCAAGAAAATGACTTCTGGTAGGTAAAAACTGAAGCCAGAGTGGTCTGCAAGTCACTTCACAAAAGAAGACAAAATGAGGTAATACCAACTTATAGCTGAAATTGATTTCTACATGGAAAGAGAAGGCAGTACAGTTAACCTCCAATGATATATTATAAAGAGCCCAACTTTTACAGGCTGATGTTGGTCTGAAAGGTGCCATGTCTTAAAGTGTTTCAGGAGCTGTATGCAGAAGTGATTTAGCATGATTTAATATATTTTAAAAATGTTTTTTTAACATGCTAAAAATAATAAAAATTTTGTGCACATTGCCATTTGATATGGTACACAAAAACATAGAGTAAATATATAGTTCATTGATGTGTAGTAGGTTCACTTATCCTGTTTGATAATCATTTTGGAATATAACTGAGAATGAAAAAATAAAGCAAGATTAAAACAATCTGAGCAGCCTACAAAAAGTCAACAAATCCATCAAGTAAACCTCATGATGACAAAGACCTTTTGGCCTTTAATCAGAGTGTATTAACTCTTTTTTCCTCTGGTGTCTTAATGAGCCCAATTATCTGTTTTCCATCCACAGCAGATGAGAAGCACAGGTTGGGAAGCTGGAATAGTATTTATTCCAGATCGTTGAACTGAGATGATCAAGAAGTGACAACTGACAGATTAAAAGCAAGGGAGAAGGACATAGAAACATAAAGTCTAGAACTAGAATGCAAAAATTACATTTGGTTTCATTTAGTCTCGGAGCAAGAAGCCCTAAACCCCTCAGTAGCAACTAAGGGCATCGCTGTGTTACATCATAGCTCACTAACTCACATATTTAATCATGCCCCTGAGTTAGCGAAAAAATAATAAGTTATATTTAGGATATTTTGCTTAAGAATGTGGGAATTATATAATTTATTTCAGAAAGAGTTTCACGCAGAAACACATGTCGATGCTTAAATGGACAAACCCTCAGAAATATGGACAGATCCTTTGTTGCTTGACTCTTCACAGTGGTTCTCAGGTGTTGATTTTTACATTTTAATTATCGTGGAAGCTGTAGTTAAATAGATAAGCAGACCATTTGGAAACTTAAAGCTATTATAAAGAAACTAAGTAACAGAAGGAATCTGGATAATGGACTTTGTGATTTTCAATTCAAGGACAGTTTTTTTTTTTTTTTCCTTTAGCACAAAGGAAAATGCTGTTCAGCAATGCCAGATTTATATAGATCTTGGGCAAATCATCTAATTTTACTAGGTTTTTAGTCTCTTTACCTCTAAATGAGCATATTGGACCAGAGTGTTTTATGCTCTCTCTAGCTTTAAAATCCCATGATTCTTTAATTTCTGTCTCTGTAGTTGAGTTATTTATTTATTTATTTAATTTTTGAAAGCCGATTGAGAAGTTCAGTCATGCTCTTAAGGATTTATATACTTGGAAGTCGAGTGTACCAATTTTGAAATTTTCATTATTCAGTTTTGTACTTCTTTGAAGCTTAGGTTTTAGAGATTAGGCCAGAAGGCTTTTTTCTTTAAAGTCTCCAGTACAGTGCTATCCAGTCAAACTTTCTGCGGCGTTCTATTTTTGTTCTGTCAAGTATGGTCACCTCTAGCCACATGTAGCTATTGAACATTTGAACTGTGGCTAGTGAGACTGAGCAACTGGATTTTTAATTTTATTTAACTGTAATTAATTTAAATTTAAATGGCTCCCTTATTGAACAGCACAGCTCTAGAGTGTGTTTGTATGTGTATGTGTATATCTGCTTGCACGTGTATGCTGAGTAGGGAGTTAGGTGTCAGGAAGTAAATAAGAGTGAGAGACCATTATTTTGGATGAAGGAATGCTACCATACTTCATTATTCAGGATATATACAGAAAGTGGAATGTAACACATTTTAGGAACTATTTTTTCCCTTTCTTTTTTTTTTTTTGAATTTTTGCATCCCATTATATATTATAACTGCTTTATATACGAGATAATGGATTGTTAAAATAATTATGTTTTTCTAATTAACCTATAGTTTCAAAGCTAGATATTCCCGTTATATTAAACATGGCCCATTAATTAAATTTTATTATTTTACCCATCCTTAAAGTCTTCTGCTGTGTGAATCTATGAATGGAGTTCATGAGGCATCTAGAGTGTGCTGGGAATTATTCTATATTTGCAGTAAAAGGATATGGTTTAGAATCATGAGTTTCTTTCTTGCTGTGTGACCTCGTATAAGTTTTTTATCTGCTTTGAGCCTCATCTTCATCATCTGTGAAATAAGGATAATAGCAATGCTTACCTTGTATGATTTTTATGAAGATGAGATTAGATGGTGAGTTATATAAAGCACCTAATGTCTGGTAATAATAATAGTAATCGCCTGGCTCAGCCGAGCAGGAGCAGCCACGTGCAGACAGCGCCGCTTCCAATATATTCTGCCCTTTAAACTTATTTCATTTTTAAAATTTAAATTTATAGTTATAAATAGTGATGATTGTTTTGATTTTGAATTGATTTTGTACCTGTCCTCTGAAAAGGGCAGTAATTGTGTAGTATTATAGCGGAATGGAGATAATTAAGATGAGTATTGTCCTCCACATTTATACATTATAAATATTTCTATAAAAGAGCATTGCTTTAGCAGAATATATTGTAAAATGACATGATAGTATGACTTTATCTTATGTTATTTGTAATTAATTGGGTATCTATTACAATTTAATAAACAATAAATAGTACATTGATAAACCAGTGCTGTTACCTGTTTATTGAATTCAGTGTCTTCTAATTATTTTATGCTATAGTCAGTGGGTGCAACTTTTTAAAATTCAGTTATGTATTCACACATTATATGTAAAGTGAGTATTTAATAGCATTGCACCAAATATCTTATTAAATGTGAAATTATTTTGATGTTGATACATTTGTTAATTTTATTGACTTTTACTAGTTCCATCATCTGATCTAAATGCATTTTATTGACTTTTACTAGTTCCATCATCTGATCTAAATGCTTTTATTTGTGTAAAGGTACAATTCTAAGACTCATTAACTTGTTTCTTATGGAAATGTCCTCTTTACTCATAGGGTATTAATACAAGCCATTAAGCTAGAATTTCTTTTAGCAAAAACAATCCTAGCAGATGGCAACTTTTCTCTCTATTAATTTTGGATTGGATATGTACTTTGGCTTGTTCGGTCATGTCATAGTTCTAACATAACAAGGATCATTCAAGCAAATACAATGATAACATAGCTATGGATATGTAGAATATACAAACATATCCCAGCCTACTGTAACTCTATGAAGACTTCAGTGTTCTCTTATTGTAAATAGGAAGGTTAAGTAACCTATTAAGGCATAAGCATCATAATAATTTATCCGATATGTCTTTTAAAATAATGCCAAGTCTATGGCAAATATTTAGTCGTATAAGTGTTTTAGCTTGACATTCGAGCATTCATAGGAATTAGGCTACATTGTTCAGTTATCATTTAGATATCTAGTAATGTCAGAAACAACCTCAATCATCCGCTTTAAAACATGTAACTTTTGATTATTGAACCTGGATGTGAGGTGAATGGGCCAATCCCTCCCCCCGTCAAAATCTTAAATGTATAAAAGAAAGATATAAAAATAAAGCAATATACCCTTTAATCTTTTCTCTCT